GATAGATGAAAAAATATATAAGAAAACATGCCTTTCAATCACGAATGAGGGCAACCAACCAGTATATCCCCAGCTAGCTGAAAAAATAATGTTTCAGATATTCACAAAATATTATCTCCAGCCAACTCAAATGATGATCATGGGAAAGACTCATTTGCCTGATTAATTTTCCCAACTCCACAATATATAAGATGAGAAACCTAGTTCCCTAGACATTTCTGTAGCATGATTCCAGTTTCCAGATGAGAAGACTAGTTTTAAGCTAACAGTGAAAGCCCCAGGTCACAGAATTGAGTTCCTTACCAAGTAAAATACAGTTCATTACCGTTTTGACCAGATGAATACAAGCGCTACAACATGCATACAGATTTTCAAAATCGGACTATATCTGAGTTATTTGCTTGCATCAAATCCCCTAAAATGCTTGAATAATGCGGAACTGGTCAGAATTCAGCACCCATATATATACTCAGGTATGTATGAAAATTTTCTAGAACTGACAGACTGCATAGCAGCATGTTATGCTCCCAAGTTGTTCAACAGAACACAACTAACTAATCAGTACACAAGAGCAATCAAGAAAAACCCGGTGCAAGGTAAGTACAGGATAAACGTGCAATGGGGCCATGGGGAGCTACCCAAAAAACTTAGCAAGATATGGTCATCGTGGAGAAGTCATCAAAATCGGCTAAAGATCATGTCTTATTGTATAAGTAGCTAATTCTTCAAGGAACAAAGTAAAGGCGGCATAAACAGTTGGTAGCATACAATGCTTCTACTATTTCCATTGTCTTGCTCTAACATGATCATTGTTGTTGGCTATGATAACCTAGACATAGAGCAACAAGAAAACATGTGACCACCAAGATTCCAACCTACAATCTTATATGATGTTTTATGCAATCATACATAATTACCAACTTCTCCATGGGGCAAACTAGATGGTGCATAGGAGTATTGAACCTATCCAAGGCGCTAAACTTTATAAACACAGGCCCAAGCACCAGAACCTCCTTACAATTTGGGCTTGCTTACTGGACACACTTGATGAGAACATGGTCAAACACATAGGTTTCACTGCAGTTTTCTATAAGCGCATTCTTCCATATCCCCTAGTCACAATAACAATCAAGCATGGGCACAAGGATCACAATTTTCACCTAACATAAGGCAATCCATCAGATAAAGAAAATATCAAGCATGTTCAACATAAAATTAAAATGCATAATTGTCAAATAGTCTGGCTTAAAACAACAGAAACATAACTGATTAAGCGGTCTAAGAGCAGTAGGCATCACAAGCCACAGCAAACCAGCACATCAGGCCTCAGGCGCGGGCTGCGTGAGCCCAGCCTTGGCAAGCAGCTTCCCCATGGCGTCAGGGGAGCACACCTGGTACTGCACCTCCCCAGTGCTGGGCTGCACGAAGACCTCGGCCAGCTCCAGCTTATCCGCAGTCAAACTAGTGGAATCCATGGTCTTGCTGAGGACCTTGAGGGCAAGGGCGACGGCCTCCTCGCGGGTCATGCCGTCCTTGTAGTCCTGCTTGAGCATGGACTGGGCGGCCTGGCTGTTGGCCCCGACGGCGGCGGCCTTCCAGCCGCCGTAGTTGCCGGAGGGGTCGCTCATGTAGAGCTGGAAGCCGTGGTTCTTGTCCCACCCGGCGAAGAGGAAGGAGACGCCGAAGGGGCGGAGGCCCCCGAACTGGGTGTAGCCCTGCTTGGTGTCGCAGAGGGACTGGACGAGCTGCTCGACGGGGATGGGCTCCTGGTAGGAGAGCGCGTAGCGCTGGGCGTGGAGGCGGGCGGTGTTGATGAGGATGTTGGCGTCGGACATGATCCCGGCGACGGCGCAGGCGAGGTGGGAGTCGATCTTGTACATCTTCTCGGCGGATCGGGAGGACTGGAGCAGCTTGGAGGTGACCTTCTTCTCGCCGACGAGGACGACGCCGTCGGCCGCCAGGATCCCGAGCGCCGACCCGGCGTTCCCGATCGCCTCCATCGCGTACTCCACCTGGTACAGCCGGCCCTCCGGCGAGAAGATCGTGGTGCGGCTGTCGTAGCGGCGAGACATCTCGGCGGCGGGGAGATCGGCGGCGGCGAGGGAGGGATTCCGAGGGTTCGGGTGGGGGATTTGGGGGAAGTGAGGAGGGAGGAAGCAGAGTCGGGGGGAAGGTTAACGAGGGATCTACTTGTAAGGCAAGTAAAGAGGAGGGCTGTGGTTTGGGTTTTGTTTTAAGTTTGAGGGTGGAAACGAAAAGGAAGTCTGCAGGAAGCAAAATCGGACAAAGAGGCGAGAGGCTCAAATATGTTAAAGTGGTTTGATGCAAAATCATCTCTAATTCTAAAAATTCGAGCTAAATGCTGTCAAGACATTAAAGTTTATTTGTTTTATCTGAGAACTAAGGAAAAAGCCTATTTAGTTCTGCCATGGTGATTTGACCTACATTTGCAGTAAAAAGTTGAAGAACGCAAAGGGTGGCAATTTCTTCAGAAAGACATGGCAACTTATGAAAAGGAAAAGAAAATGCTGCAAAGAAAGAAGGATTTGCCATCTTCCATACCAAGTAAACTTGACTAAAAAAAATTCAATTGCCACCCTTCCCAGCCGACATTCACCAGATAACAATGCCAAAGTTCCATAGCCAAAAAAAAAAACAATGCCAAAGTTGAAATGAATACCGGTGTCCAAATATCGCAGTGTGATAATCATAATACAAAATCCAGTTTTGTTAAGTCTCAATTGACTAAGACTTCGCTATGTCTCAGTCCATGATATATTCCTTTGACCTTGCATTAAGATTCGTACAAAAAAAATTATTTTCAGTTTTCCCTTTTTTTTCTTCTTATATGCCATGTCACTTGAGTGAGACTTGGTTAAATCTATGTCGACCAAGATCTAGCCACACCCTACAAAATCACTAGTTACTCGATGGAACACTTCAATGCAAAAAAAAACACCATTACAAGATTTTATTGGAATATGGAAACAGGCAAAGCATAGGACTAGTTTTGTGTCTTGCTTAGGAAGACGGGACGGCGGCGGCTCCCCGAAGATGAAATAAGGTTCTCCCCGCCTAGCCTCGTCTCGATGGTGTGTCTAGCATCATCGGTGGGCGTGTGGAGGAATGTCTCTGGCGGATCTATCCTTGGTGGTTTTGCTCGAATACAATCGTAGTTCGTCTATGTTCATGTGTTTTGAGGTTAGATTCTTCCGATTTACGCTACTCTTCATCAGCAGCGATTGTTGTTCTGCTGCGTTGATCCTATAGGGCCTTAACATGACGATTTCCTGACTGTCTACCACAAGTTTTGCTCGGCTCCTCCGAGGGAGGGGCAATGATGGTCGTGCAGCTTTGGCTCGCTTCATTGCTTGTAGTCGCCGCTAGGTGATCTATGGATCTGGATGTAATTTTTATTATTTCTGATGTTTGTTGTACTGCCATGATTGAAGATGAATAGATTGGAAGTTTTCTCAAAAAAAAAAGGCAAAGCATAGGACTGAGATGCCAGAGCATGGTAAATACCATAGGAAGTGATGGCATCGAAATAGCAATGATAGAAGTTATCTAGTTGCACCACAAGGAGAAACCAATCTATATCCTTTAAAACTCAGTGAAAGCCATAGCTGTCAAAAGAAGAAAATTTTCAAGGGCCCTGTAGGATAAAAATCCATAGAAAATTCAAATGTGACGTTCCTTTGATACAAATATCCTCCGCGGGGAAAGAAATCAATGGATAGTAATCCTACACCGATATTATAGGTATTTGGATTAATTAAATGGGGCCTGCATGTCTGGCCTGCAAGAGTTTCACAGGAAACAGTTCAATCAAGCAGGTACAAGAACTCATTCAACATGACAGCACCACATGGAAATAAGTTTGAACGAACAAATAAAGAATGAAGATGACTAGAGTGGTTCTTACAAGTTACTCCCTCCGTAAAGTAATATAAGGCCGTTTAGATCACTACTTTAGTGATCTAAACGCTCTTATATTACTTTACAGAGGAAGTACAAGCGATGGTTGGAAAACAAAACAAAGCTACAGCCCTAAAATCCTGACCGAGAACCGAACTGTACACTAGTGATGTTCTCCTCTTCATGCTACGCGCTATGTTTTCCTGTACAGGCGTCCACGTCCCCCACCCAATCTCGGCAAAGATATGATACAGTACATAGGCTAATTCACATGCTATGCACAACTGAACTCCCCTCATGCATTTGGATGCTTTACCAGTGCAACCCATTTCCACCAAAGGTAAACGACGGACGAAGAGATCACCGCCGCAGCTATACACAGGGCTGCAATGCCTGCAACCACTCCTCTTCGCTTGTCATCATTACTTGGCGCAGACACTGGCCGTGCTGGTGGGGGGCTGTTGTTCGGACTTTCGGGGCGAAAAACTGCACAAAATTGAGCATTTCATCCTTGTCAGTCAATGCTTTTCCCATAAATAGAAATGGTATGTGCGCCGTGCAGTATATGAACTGTAATTACCTCTTATTGCTGATACCAGAGGCCCATAAGCTCCTTCATATGGAATACAGCATGTGCCTCGTCCATTCCAATGCAGATGTATCTTAAGTACCGAGTTAACCACTGTCACTTCGTAAGTTATGTTTGTGGGTCTTCTGAACCCCCCTGCTTCCTTAGTAATGTCGAAATCTGTCTTGATATTTCGATCCTGCAGTTAATCAGACAATTTCATTTTCGCTCATCTAAACTGAGTGTGTCAAAAACTTAAATGTTTGTTTGCTTTGTGATTTTGCAAAGAGGGAGAAGGAGACATCAAACCTGAATATCAATGTTAAATAGGCGCTTTCCTGGCTTTTCAATAACTATCTCTGCGAAGAAGAGTTGAACTGTGTATTTCCCATTAGACAAACCAACTATATAGTACCACAAAGCACTTCTTGATGTCCTTGCTGTTTGATACAGTTCAGGCATGTCTGTTCCCAGAATAACTTGACTTGTATTTACAAAACGAGGAGACTCACGAAAAGGATCAGAACCCACATGACTAACTACCCATTGCATGCTAGTATTAACATGAAAACCTGCTGCTCCAAGGTCAGTGGTGTCATCGTCAAATCTAATTGGCAATGGATCTGAATAAATTGTTTGCTTGCCGCCACAGTTTACAGCAAAGGAGGTTATAGCATCTGCATTTATGATCAGATGAGGGAGGCGTTAGTATTTTTCTTGGATTGTGGAATACATGTTAAGTGACGAGATATAAGTGCAACATCAGAAGAATTAACAAGTTTTAAATTAATAACTCTAGGAACACCATAATATGTATACCAATGTAGTGACTGCAGCATTATTAATTGAGTATTAGAAGTCTAATGACAAAGAAAGTCGTGTTCAAAATATCCAACAGTGAAGATTTTTGATGACTTACTAGCATAATATTTTCTGTTGCATTCTTTCATGTGGAGACAGTTGAGGAGAGTGAGGTTTTCACTGCACATTAATAATTATAAAATGTCAGGATGAGAATATGAAGCAGAAAGACGCTACAAGAAAAAAGGATCCAAATACAATTCTACTAAAATTACAAGTTGTGGCGGTCTACAGAAGTACCAAAGGCCACCATCAATGCTAACATTTCTTTTCGGCATTCCGCTTGTTGAAGATTTCCTGAACTTTTTACCTTTACTACTCCCTCTGTCCCATAATATAAGAACGTTTTTGACACTACGTGTAGTGTCAAAAACGTTCTTATATTATGGGACGGAGGGAGTATATTGCAGGCTATTCTCTGAAATGCAAAGATAGGCCTACTTGTGACAAATTTCTAATGCATATGTAGGCCCTGGCCCTTTGCTTGTAAAGAAGGAAAACTTGCTACCACTTTGGTCTCCTCTTTCATGCACTTCCATTCCCCAACATATTCGATTGTTTCTCTAAAGTGCATCAAGAGAAAAGAGCAATAATAGCCTTACAGGAGCGGCATGGTTATATTGTTATGCATTGTTGGGGTTGACAAACAAAGGAATGCTGATCAGAACAGATTAGGCTATGAAAAAGAAAATGTTTATCGATCAATGGCGTTAGATAAGTATGCTCATTTAACAAATGTGTCATGTGTAACTTATCAATCTTTGAAAACAGGCAGCAAGGGAAGATTCACATTGAAGATTGTCCAATAATCACATCTACAAACTTATAAAAATGAAAAATGGCAAACCAGTAACAATGAAGCTGTCACTTGTTTGATCAACATTATCAAAGCATGTCCACTAAAGTCATGACAAAAAATGTTGATTACCTGTTAATCGCTCTGCTTGTATCAATTGCAGTCCCAATATAATTTCTACATGGAAGGCCACAAAAAATAAGTCTGATTGCTAACTTAGCCATTAGAATTATGTAACGAGTAAAATTAAGAAATACATACACTGACAACTTGCGATCAGTCGGATTGTTAGGAAGGAGTCCATTAATAAAAGGATTATAGGAAATATCCCTGGAGAGTTTACACGAAAGTCAGGAGAGCTACATAGGTGTAAAACAGGCTGGCACTGCAGAAAAGAATTATAGGCTGATCTTGAAGAATTAGAATCACAGAATATGACACAACAGAGCCAAAAGAGAGCAAACAACAAAACTTTAATCCCAATTGTCGAACAGTGGCTGTTGGTACATCTAAAGCATGAACGAACATCACATTACTTCGTAGTTGAAATGCATCGAAGGGAAGTATACATTATGTTCATAAAGTTGCATATTACAGGGGATAATCTCATTATCTTAACCAAAGAGGTCATCACAACAACTAGCAACCCCTCATCCCTTCAACCAAACACAAAATTGGTATCCCTAACCACCTCTCATCCTATCAAGTTCCAACCAAGCCAAAAATTGGCTCATCAAACCCACCCAACCAAACAGTAAAAATGGCCCCAACCATGTGGATGTGGATACCATCAAGGCATCAACCCACCCACCTCTGCCCTCAAACCAAACACACCCTTAAGAGTCACTACAAAATACTCCCTCAGTTCGAAAATGTAAGCGGTTCTAGATTTGTCCTAAGTCAAATTTCTTTTAAGTTTGACCAATTCTATAGGAAGATATACCAACGTCTACAATATCAAATTGTCAAATTGAAGGAAGTTTGAATTAGGACAACCTCAAATCGCTTACATTTTGGAATGTAGTACAAACTAAAATGGTACCCTAGTAAAGCTTAGTTTGACAGTCCTAGTAAGTGACAGCCCATGAGGCATCTTGGATGTCAGCACAAAAGTCTTCGTCAACCAGTGCAAATGCAGAGCATACTTACAAAGCAAGTGATGGCTGAATAAATTCAGCAGGCAGATGTCCACTAAAGTCATTGTCACCCGCGTACCTAGAAGGATGAAAATTCACTTTATCAATGAAATAAAAATGGTACATGCTGATGGCATAAACTAGGAAAAGGTAAATACAAGAACAATAAGATTATAGATGAATCTGAACCAACAATAGGGTTCATCCAAGCATAGTTTATTATTGACTAATTAAGTAATATCACCATAAAGATAGCCCACTTAAAGGTGTGTTCTTATCACTTGACCTTACATGAAAAAAAAAGTGAATCAGATATCAAAATATTTATGCTGGGTAAGATAACGACGGGAAAACCATGCCAAAATCCAAGTCAGGAAGTCGTCTAGGAGGAGATTGAGATAGCAAAGGTACAACGCAAGACAACTTCTATGACCTATCTTGGACAAATACTTTATTAGGGAGGAGCCATGAAGGTAATATGTCAGTTTAAAGGTGAGCAAGTATATGTCTTGGGATGAGACAGTAGATTGATCCTTTCGCTTAAATTTCATCAACTTGGCCAGACTTTATAGCCAGCTTGCATTTGGGAAACGATCCACTAAAAAAATTGAATCTGCAGCTTAACCATAAGCCTAACAACTTTTGGGGATAACTTGGTAACGATGATAACATTAGGAAATCTTATCTCCTAACTGCTGTATGGCTGAGCCTCTAAGCTGACAGGATAGAGCATTGGCAATGGTAAAACCACGTTCCCACATGACACAAAGACTGCAAGTCTGTAACAACTTACAGGTATCTTGAACTCTTATACGGAAGCAGTAGTTGTAATTGGCCTGATAGATTGTTTGACCTCAAATCTCTGAAAATAAAAGGCATACACACACTTCATAAATAATGCTAACTATGAAATACCAGCACAATGTAGAAAAAACCTTACGGATTGTATTCTCAACAACGATACAGAGATCTATTTCATGGCATAGCTTGCACTATGAATTTAATAGCAAAGCTAAAACATGATGAAATGGAAGTGACTGTATAGTGGATTGAATATTTTAATACTTCCAGGTCTTCCATTGCACTGAGAAGAAGAAAATGTCCAAACTCGTTAAACTGAAACATGTATTAGCATCCAATTTAAATTTTTGGCGTAACTTGCGACTACCATTGCAAGGTTAGAAGATGCGAAAGGTATGCACACAAATTGTTCATAGTGTTTCCTTTTAGAAATTAATAGCCATTTGAGATGCATGACACACTACAGAGCACATTTACACAATACCAAGAACAGTAGCATCCTATTAAAGGACAAATGTGTTAAAGACTGCCTCAAATTACGAATTTGTATTACTATGGAGAGTAACTAAGCAAAAGCATTATCTTGAATGCAGAAGTTTTAGAAAACCCACAGGTATGTTAGATTGGGTAAAGTTGGGGGAGTACTAGGGAACTGGCCAATGATCCCACATTTTCTCAGAGATCTGCTTAACACAAAAAACTGTAGTAAGTAATTATACTACTCAGGAAACTAAAATACAGTTCAGTACTACAGTTGCAGACATACAATATCGAAAGATTTGCTGAATCTGGTATGAAATCAATAGTAGAATTCGCACCATCAAGATCACCAAGCATCCTGTAAGGAAATACCTGTTAAAGGTAGCACTATAAAGTATTTATTAGATCAGATTTGTGTGGTTTAGTTGTCAGTAACTTTCCAGATTAGAGTACCACAGCAATAAACAAACTGAGGACAGTGCTATTTTTTTTTCATACTTAATAAAAGAAATCATTAGAGTGACTTACAGATATTTCAGATTGATCAAATTAGAGAATTGTTTTGGAATAGGTCCTTGAAGTTTCATCCCATATATTCTCCTAGAAAGACAAGTGTATTAGTGTTCCATGAATGCAAAGAAAGAAGAAGCTTTTACTAATGAAACAAACGAAGTACTACTTATGCATACAAGTCCGTGAGATTGGTAAAGTTCGCAATAAAGTCTGGAAATAGCCCTTCAATGTAGTTATCAAACATCCACCTGCATAAGCAATTGGAAGATCATGTAATCCTTCTTTCCAACAAGATGGTATGTAATCTATTACTCTCCAAATTGATTTAGTCAGAATTGAATAGCTTTTTACTTAGGATAAGAGTAAGTAAAAGGAAAATGATGCATACTTACAGGGATTGAAGATTCCTTAAAGGTGAAGATTCATTAGGAAAAGGTCCACTTAGTTGGTTGTTGTTGAAGTGCCTAGCTAAGTGAAAAGCATTGAATCAGCTATGAGAATATTAGATGTCCTAGACGTTTTGAAATCAAAACAATACGAGTACTGACACTGTGACAAGAGTCTGGAGTATGACTACATTCGCTGCATAACACGTAGTAACCATGCACTCTCAACTCACATATTTCTTTACGACAAATACATAAATATTTACCTAATGAGGTTCTAAAAATACAATCTCGATTGTAAGGGGAACAAAAAGGTTTTCTAATCACCATGTTTCCAGTTTGGAGAGATTGGCAACTTCTGGAGGTATTGCGCCGCTTAAATTGTTATTGCTCAAATCCCTACAAAATGAAATGATAAGTGACTATCAGTCAACATTAAGAATCCTTGTTCTCACTCAACAAGTATAACATATTTTGTAGTATTAACAATGAGGAGCTCGAATAAGAAAAAAACACACTAGTTATTCCAAATAGATAGAGCACTTTTAACAAACACATGGAATCACTGATTCTATATCTAATCCTTTTAGTAATCACTATGTCTTAAATCGTTATGCTGCAGCAACAGGCTGCTGAGTGCTGAATCATGAGTAATAACTATAAACGAGTACTGCCTTCAGTTCTTAGAGGCTGGAGATCAGTCACACATATTTTTGAGACGTTTACATGTGACTTTTCAAGTATCGGCAGTAAAAGTTCAAAAGTTTGATTACAGTGTGTCAGAATAACAAGTATTCCAGAACAAAAGCAAGTAATATAATACCCATTTGTGCAACCTAATACCGCGTTGTCCTACTTATAGTAGGCTGCTTAATTCTCGCATTTCCTAGTGTGAGCAGTTTGCACAGTAACAGACATCAATGCCATGACTCACAGAGAGACCAGCTCCGTCAAGTTGAAGAGCTCTGGCGGGATCTCGGTCAGATTCCAGTATCCGGTGACGTTCCTGCATAATCCAGAGCCCAGCCGTCAACCCACAAGCAAAGGCACCGGAAAACCGAAAAGACAGAGGCCTCGGGCGAGCGAGGAAGACGGAGCACGAACAGGTGCGTGATGCGGCACACGGGCGAGCCGTCGCAGCTGCAGCCGACGGACGCGTTCTGCGCGAAGGACTCGATCCAGTCCCGCGTCCCGCACGGGTCCCCCGGGTTCACCGTCGGGCCGTACCGGAGACCCCACCGCTGGAACACCGCGAGCAGGGCGGCCGCTGCGAGAGGAGGAGGGCACGGAGAGAGATCTGTGAGGTCGCGGGCATTTCACTGCCTTCCAATTCGGTAAGGAGAGCAGATTTACCGTCGGAGGCGTCGGTGGACTGCTGCGGGAACGGGGGGAAAGGCTGGCCGGGCTGGGCGGCGGCGACGGCGAGGCCGGCGAGCGCGAGGAGGAGGGGGAGGAGCGGAGCCATGGGCGTGGGGAGGTGGGGGTTGACTTGGGGCGGAGGATGGGTGGGAGCATTGGGGAGGGAGGGAGGCCCTCCCTTGGGGTTTTGGGGCGTGGGTTTGACCTCGCGCCGTTGCGCGGGTCTGGGGAGCACGAGCGGCCGCGGAGACGAGGTCGCGGACGGCCGGGTCTCGGGAGGGGGGCTGGCTACCTACCTCGATCGGGGGTCGGACTCCGGCCGGCCGGCGGCGGCGCTGGTCTGAGTTTTGTGCTTTGAGCAACGCCTGTAAAACGAGCCGGAAATGGTAATGGAAAACGCGGTTTGTTGGGTAAGCATTTTAGTCGGGTTTTTATTTTTATTTTTTTGGCGTGAAAGGGCAAGCGTTTTACTCGTTCGCCAGCTAGTCAAACTTTTGGTCCAAAATAGTCTATGGGCCGTCTTTGATTGGCAAGGATTGTTGCATGTGTCCAAAAGAACAGTGTGAAAACGCAGTAATTTAAAAAAAATTATTAGATTTTGATTTTAAAAAAAACTTTTGATCTATCCATCTTCATAGGTAGTACAACGAACACTAGAAAAATAAAAATTACATCCGTAAATCATCCAGCGACAACTACAAGCACTGAAGCGAGCGAAGGCACGCCGCTGTCATCGCCCCTCCCTTGCCGGAGCAAACAAATCATGTTATAGTAGACAGTCAGGAAGTCGTTGTGCTAAGGCCCCATAGAACCAACGCACTAGAACAACAATCGCCGCCGATGAAGAGTGTAGATCAGAATGATCCACAACCTGAAGATACAAGAACATAGACGAATAACGAACAGATCCGAGCAAAATCCACCAATTCACCGGCGATACACCTTCACACTCCCACTGACAATGCTAGACACATCAACGGAACGGGAACTAGGCGGGAAGACATTTATTCCATGCCTCGCGCTTCCTGAGCAGGACACAACCCTAACAAAACTCGAAAAAAATCTAAAAACAAAGCCCACCCACCGGCAAGGCCCAGAATCCACTCCACCCCCATGGCCCTAAGGTGATGTAGGGTAGAACCCTAGATGCCCGATCTTTCACGATTGAAGGGGATCCTACGAAGAACATGAGAGGGAAAACGAGGGGAACACGAGGGAAATCACAAGAGAAATCACTCAACCAACAAGATCCGGTCACACATATGCTAGATCCTCGAAACACAAAGAGTGATACACGATTCAAAGTCAACAAGGGACGATACAAAGGGTCTTCCCGTGATGGGGTCTTGAATCCACTTGGGGGATCTTCACCGAAGAGGCGCTCGACTCCGATGGAGAAGTAACCAAGTGAATGCGCAAAGCTCTATCTCAAATATGAGCTATCACAATGCTAACCCTAACTAGGAGGAGGTGGAGGAGTATATATAGTCTAGGTCCTCGAAGGGGTAAGTGGGAGAGGGATACATGTGCCTCGGGCCCGATCTCTATGCGCAGACAGGCATCGGACGTCCGACGGCTGTCGGTCGTCCGGTCGTCCGGAAGTCTTCGGACATCCGACGGCTGTCGATCGTCCGGTCGCTCGCTAGCGTCCGGTCGTCCGGAAGTCTTCGGACTTCCGATGTTTTGGCTCTGGTCCGATAGTGTCGGAAGTCCGGTCGGCGTCGGCCGTCCAGGCGCTGATGAGTGTCGGACGTCCGGTGTCGGGCGGTCGTCCAGGCGCTGTAGGTTGCCTCGGCTGGAGTCGATCCGGCTGGTGGAATCTCCAGGCGTCGGACGTACAGAGATCGTCGGTCGTCCGGTGGCTATCGGTCGTCCGAGCATTGTAGCTTCCTAGCAGCTCTTCCTCTTGTTCCTCGCGCTTGGTGTCCTCGCAGTCTTGTCCAATGCTCCTAGTTGTTTCATGGCCTTCCTCTTGGTTCCTGGTCATGCATATCACATATGTTTGAGGTAGTAGCCATGTCTCACATGTGGAAAGTGACGATTTGGAGAGGAGCGAGTTCACCTTGTGTCCAACGACGTATGTTCGAGGTCTCGTCATATGTCCTCTTGGGGCTTGGAGAGTAGTCGGAGTATACATGGGGATGAACATGAGATGCTCCACATCATCTCCCCCCCCCCCTTGGGAAAGATCCGACCTCGGATCGTGATCCTCATCACCATGGAAACAGTTGTCATGGATGGACTTGTATTTGGACGGAGTTGAAGGCATGGTGCAATCCAAGTACTCCAAGGTGTCTCCGGTATGTGGTACATGCAAAATGAGCAAACACAAGCGACACTCGGAAATACAATGGTTAGCACACACAAAGTGTCCATCATGTAAGAATGAGTCTGTGCGGCAAGATTGTTCATGACAAAGCGCATGAAGCTTATCAAGATGATATAGAATGATATGCAAAGCATTCATGGGGTAATTAGCATGGTGCACAAAGCGACAAATTCTACCATTGTGCAAAATGATGTCATAGAGAGACAGTTTATCAAGAGCATGAATATGGCAATGGATGCTCAATATGTGTATGTTATCATGCAATTGATGGTGAGCAATATGATCATGATGTATGAATATGCCATCAAGAAAGATCACAACAAAATTGCTAAGGAAGTGCACAAGCTCATATATCATGGATGACATGGGAATACAAGATGCAACAAGACAATCATAATGTGAGTCAATCCATGCATAGGGTGCAAATTTGTGGTGAGTATGATATGTCCATCGAGCATGACATGTGTGAGCACAATCAACAAATATATATGGAGGTGTTGGTGTACCAATGTTCGATGTCGTGGCATGAGTGGAGTTCCGAAGGTGCATTCAATAAGCGCGAGCGCTCCTTAATGTGAAGGTCCATAGAGCCAATATCCAATGTCGATCCTCCCTCCGCGAGATGTATCATGTAGACAACAAGAAGGAAACAACAATGAAAGAGTGACACATCCAATATGCGTACTTGAGGATGGCTCAAAGGGAAGGAGGTCACCTCATGAATGTTCCCGAAGATGTTGGAGTTGCACACACTACTAAGGAAAAGCCTATACACAGAATCTTACCAGCAGCATGCTTTAAAATAAGGCACTGCTGCTACTTAGCAGTAGCGAGCTCAAGCTTAACTCACTGCTGAAATAAATATAATAGTAGTGCCCCCGCTCAAAGACGCGCTACTGATATAATTCCCACGAGGCCGCCGCGAGGCTAGTTATACCAGCAACGCGTTATCACGACGAGCGCTCCTACTACGTAGCATAGTAGCAGCGCATTTCGCCAATAAGCGCTACTGCTAAGTTTACTACAAAAATTTAGTCCCACCTCGCTCCGTGAAGAGAGTTTCTACCACCTTAAATATGTTACTTCTCAAACTTTGACAAGCACTTGGTCTTCATTGAACTCTATGTGTAGAATTTGTGGCCGCAATATCAGTCTTCACCGGTTCTAAACCGGTGAGGACTCATATTGACAAATCAGATTGTACACAAAAATATTGTTGATGATCAATGTATTTTTGATACATTGAATTAAGCCTATTTTTACATGCTGACACATAGCACTAGCGCTTCTTTGTGAAAGGCGCTGCTGCTAGGTAGTTTAGCAGTAGTGTCTTTCTCTATAGTGCGCTACTGCTAAGCTATTCCATCTCCCACCCCCCTCCTCTATCCGATCCACTCAGACTCACACACTCACTGGATCCCCTCTCAACCCCCCGCGCCGGTCCTCCCCCATCGCCCTCCTCCCTCTACGCCACCGTCACCTCCTCCTCCTTGCTGGACTCGGTACCGGCGTCCTCCTCCGTCCTCCCTCCACTCGCCGCTGGCCTGCCCCTCCTCGCTCCGCCTTCCTCCTCCATCCTCCCTCCACTGGCCACCGGCCGGCCCCTCCTCGCTCCGCCTTCCTCCTCCGTCCTACTCTCTTCTCCCTCCTCCAGTCGCCCCTCCTTCTCCATCCTCCCTGCTACATTTTGATTTAGTAGGCTAGTTCATATGCAACATTTTGATTTAGTTGATATGATTTAGTTGATTTAGTAGGCTAGTTGATTTAGTTGATTTATAACATTTTGATTTAGTTGATTTAGTAGGCTAGTTCATTTAGTTGATTTAGTATGCACCATTTTATTGTTATTTTTTCTGTACATGGATAGGTAGTTGCTTTTGTTTTTTTAATAAGTTACTTTTTGGCAAAATGTAGGTGGTACCTTGTCATCTAATATGTTACTAGATCTTAGGATTATAATTGTCCATCAAATTGCTTCTCGCAGAAGAACCAGAAATATCACATGCTACTGTTTTTCTTTCCTGTGAAGTGGATCGTTAATACTTTGCTCATATTGCTTTAGGAAAAATGGCGCCACCACCACCACCACTATGTCGACTGTGCAAGTCAAGGTGCGCCAGCAGCCTTGCAACTGGCAAGCTGTTCGACATCTACTTCCAGCCGAGATTTCGTCATGCGACGGTAAGAAATTAGATGAAATGTAATAACTATTTTATTTTTAGTGTTGGCATTACTACATTGTGTCATTTTGCTTATTTTACACAGATCGTCCCATGCAATGTGAGGCTGAAATTCAACAAGCTGACAGGAGACACTGTGACATTTGAGGCTCCTGGGGGGCGGTACACTATGGAGGTCGAGAAAGGACGCAATATGTCGCAGATTGGAGGAGATGGATGGGACCATTTCGTCGCCCGCATGCGTCTTACTGGTGGTGATTTGATCAGCTTCTCCTTCAGAGCAGAAAGACCCAATCTGGCTGTCATTTATCTCAACCTGGTGGAAGATGATGAAGATGACGAAGATGATGAAGATGATGAAGATAATGAGGACCCACTCGATGAAGATGATGAGGACCCACTTCATGAAGCCATCGTAGCTCAAAGAACAAGGCTGAGCAAGGAGGAGGTGTCCAACCTGTGGGACATAATTCTGCCACGTGCTGACTTTGTCGGGGTGCCATTCGTGACCCGCCTGACAAATACCATGATTGATCGACATGATATGGTATGTTATACTTACAAATGCAAATTATCCGATGAAATACTTAGTGTACA